TCTGCTAAAGTTTTTTTTTTAAGGCTAAAATTTCTTTAAGGCTATAAAGAGATCCAGTTGGATCTCTTTATAACAAAATGAGAAGCTTTGTCTAAGTCTGTGGGAAGGCAGAGATATTTCTCAGCATGAAAGGTAATGGATTAGTAATGTTGATAGATGAAATCCTCTCCTTATCCTAGGCAAGAAAAATGACAGGAATAATCTTCCCGAACTAGGTCCTTAAGTGTCTGTATTGGTCTGATAAACATTAAATGTCTCACCTCTCACATGAACTGGGCATATGTCACACAATTCTCTAATGGGAGATTTATCCTGCATTGTATGGACTCTTAAGTAACAGCCTTATACATGAAATTGTTGTGAGGCTTTTCAATGGAATTGGAATTTTCAGTAGTTTTACATGTCTGAGTTACAACTAAACTTTGAACCTAATTTTTAAGTACGACATTGCCTTAGGTTTAGTTTTTAGTATGCCTTCCTCTCACAGTGAAGCACAGTTTGATGAGAAAAAGAAAAGATTCAGTGTATCAAAATCTTATGAAAGGAAACAAAATAACTAGTTGTAGAATTAGTGTTTTAAATGATTTGATTCAAAATACGTCTTGAAATTTGTTCAATAGTTTTATAAAACCTTTATTCATTTAAAAGTCTTTTTTCTAAAGACTTTCTATCAGAACATAAATAGGCCCATGAATAGTTATTAGTATTGCCAAAGCAGGTGCAGTCTTTATAAATTTCATTAAAGAAAAGTTCATGTCAGAGTTGATGATATCCTGGCATATTTACAGGGAAAACTTCACAAAGTTGTGAAGTCTCTGCTTCAGGAATACAATTTGAACTTGGATATCACACTGATGCACAAGTAATGCCATATAGATAGCTCACCTTCAAAGATACTAGGGAAAAATGAGGAATTTCTGTCAATCTGTCACTGAAAGACATATTGAATACATGTGCATACAGAGTTACATACAAATATGATACAATAATCTGTCAAAACCTGGACACCCTAAGAAATGCCATTAGCAAAAACAAAAATAAAACTCTTAGTAAAAGATATTCCCATTAGGAAACTACTAGGTAAAAATGTTAGTTCAAACTTGGATGTTTATCTGGAACTTGCAGCAGGTATTTTGCCAGGATTATCAGTTACATTTGTTTTAAATATATGATAAAGTCTATGGTGGTGGTTTATAAAGAACAGCAGCAACAAAAGCAGTTTCTGGATCGAAGATATCCTGTGTTAATGATGGAGGGTATTCTAAAATGAACTTATTTGGGGACACTTTATCACTTCCATATGCCATCTAATTCATATGTGAGCATCCACAGACTTGATTTACCTTACTTTGAGTCTTTTAGTTGCTTGTTTACCATGTACACCTACCTGTGAGCTTTCTACTACCAGATTTGCATACTTTACATATTTTTGCTAAGTCTCAGAGGCACTTTAAAAGTGCTCGCTCAATGCCCTTGAGTCCATGACACTTTGCAGTGTAATCTAATCTCTGATGTTTCCATGATAAATTTCATCAATGGATATATATAAAACCATAAATGTATTTATGTATGATAGTGAAATGAAAGTTGAATTGTTCTAAACATATTCCCTTAATTTGATGAGAATAATCTCCTAAAATTTTCTCCCTCCCTCATCCAAAAATGGATATTTGAAAAAGATAATTCAGTAAATATATCTATTTCTGCTGATCATATGATAGTTTATTTTTTGAAATATAAATAACTCAGCATCACATTAAAATACATCCTGTAAACTTGCTTTACATAAACTGTCTAAATTTTGAAATTAAGTGGTTGTGACTGAAGAAAAGAGGTACTTTTCATTATAACTACTGTAAAATAAATTCTGAACTAGCATTCTAATGGTGGACTGTAGTGTTGGCATTTAAAAAAAATTTTTTTCTCTTTTAATATCCTTTTCATAAGGCATGGAGGGAAAAATCCTCTTCATCATCAACAATGCACCTTTTCAAATGTTCTGGATTTCTGAAGTTAGCTAAGACACCGAAATCTATAGTATACAAGCACATGAAGTCTCAGGCAGAATACAATCTTAAACTATTTTAAAGTAAAACTGAAAATGCAAAAGTAAAATTAAGAGAAATTAAGTGCTTAAAATATTAGTTTATGTATTAGACTTATTGCTTTCCTCATCAGTCTAATTCTGATATACCTAACACATACATAACCCTCACTACCATGTATTCCCATTTTACTTAGCAACATATTTAAAGAATTCTACATTCCCCTGTAGTATATTTAACCTAGTATAATTTTTCAAACCTTAAAATCACCAGGATTCAATAGAAATATGACCAGCCATATTTTCTTCCAATTATCTTTAGTAATATGCAATTGATTTGTTTTATATACTTTCTTGAACCATTCTACTCATGCTTTTTAATGAAACAAATTCTCCTCTTGTAACCAGAAGTCTGGTATAAACGTAAGTCACCTGGGAGCCTGGCCAAAGTCTGAAGCAGCACAGCTGAAGGGTACAGCCATTTCACAGGGTCCTCTCAGAGAGTATTTGGTTTGCTTTCCTAACTTTCTAAAAATAGTAGATTACACAGGCTACCTCCATCTCATGGCACAAGAAGTCAAAAAAGGCTGGATTACAGATTTCAGTAACACAAAGAACACATTTTATTAAAGGAGCCAGAATACAAGTCTTCTAAATGTCTTCCGTTTATTCTCTCAGACAACGCAAGTGATCTAGCGGTTACTGGCACAGAACTTTCATAACGCTCCCAAATTTCAGAACTTTAAGCATGAGTCAGAAGTTACTTTAACTGTTTTAAAATGTGTTTTTGATCTATTTATACCACAAGATCTAATACAGCAAGACTACTGTCTAGAAGAATTCTAAATATCGTATAATCATATAATAGGTCACATTTTTTTAAACACAGGTACTTAAATTACATATTCTGAATTGTTTTAATTAATTGTGAACATGTTATTTCACTAACATTTCAGGAGTTATTGTCCTGGGTATGAAGCTCTACCACTAAAAAAAACTATGTCTATTTTTCTTATTAAAATCCAAAATATTTCACCATGTTTTAGATACTAGAAATTTCAGTTTTTTAAGGCAAAGAAAAAGGACATATTTTACACTAATTCGGTGCTATAATGATTTCTTTTACAAATAAATTTGAAATCTTGAAATAGTTTTTTAAAAAGCCCTTGATGCGGCAGTTGAATCGTAACCACAGAACATGTCATTAAGCAACACTGCTGCTTTACTCAAAAGGGGAACTGTTCTGTGGCCACAAGTGAGCAGCAACTAAAAAAATATTTTGAGCTGGAAAAACAGCAACTGAATATTAATGTTTCACAATGTTTCCAAATGCTGTGGAGGCAGGTCTTCTGTGAAATCACTCAGTATCACAGCCAAATTTAAGGTCTTAGTTTTACAGCTACCAGTGTACCATCAATAGTCTATAAGATTAAAAATTAAGATTTACTAGTAATTGGAACAAAACAGGGTTGTTTATGGACATAGCTAATTACTGACAAGAGCAATGAGCCCTTTGTCCCTCATTTTATGGGTCTCAGTCTAATTACACCTGAATTCAGTCAGCATGAATTTAAGAATACACAGTCACAAAGACACAACCATTGTGCCCTTCATCAATGCCTTTCAGGGGATAGAGGAGAAAGGCCCGCTGGTAATGTACAACTACTGCTGACTGATCTCTGGGACTATAACGTTAAGAATAATCTAACATTTTAAAATATTTTTCTGGCTGTTAACACCTCCTTTTTATCCTACTTTGAAGATGATATCCTTGGAATCTTTGGCAAAACTTTAGCAAAGTGAGCAGTCCAAAGTAGATCCAGCAGCAATCAAGTGAAAGAGTGAATTCATATCTCACTATGATGTTATTTTCAAAGGCATTATTATTACAGCACTATTAGTATTTTAAAAAACAAGATGGATCTCTAAGACTTTCATTTTTCCCTGCATGTAGATGTGATAGCGACCACCTCACACTTTCAGAGAATTACTCTGGGGCATTGGTATCCAAAAGTAATTTAATTAAACCGATTAGGTTCAGATTACCCAAGAGCACATTTCTAGTCTTGACCTTGCATGTCAAAGTAAAGACACATACAGTATCTTTTAAAAAACTCCCAATTTCAAACCTGATACCTGCATTACAAGTCCAATGACATTTCTGAATGTCAAGAAATGCTTTTAGTTACAATGCCCACAAAGCTAACTTTTAACATTTCTAGCTGATACTGTTAAAAATAAAAACTAATCACAATCTAACAGAAAATAAACTGCTTATTTTACACTAGAATTTCTGAGGTTAAAAAATCCAACTACAATAGTCCTGAAGAGTTTCTACTTATTTATAAAACTCACATTGGACAAAGTCTGCACTCCAAATAAGGTATTGTAGCAGTAGTCTGGGGTTTGATTTTGCCTTATACATTTCATAAAATGCAAGGCTTCTGCCCTAAAGATAATACGCCAATAAAATGAAAGAGAAAATCCAAAATGTCAAAATATTAAGAGTAAAAATTAAGATTTTTTTGCTGTTCTCATAACAATACAGCACCTTTACCAAAAAAACAAAAACAAAACAAAAAAAAAAAATCTTCATTCAGCTACTGTCACAGCCTTATATATAAAATATATGCATATGCTAAATATACCCATGCCTACATTCACCACTCCCAAAGCTGACACCAACTTTGCTATTACTACATAAAAATTACAATTACGTTAGTAGTTTCTGCTCTAGAAAAAGTCATGGCATTATTAAAGGACCGATAAGTTATTTACAACAAAGTTTGTCCAGACTTGGTTCTATCATAACTCATAAAGTTTCCCAACACAACATCATCAATTAGAACACACCATGTAACTAAACTAACAAAGCAGTCCCCAATCAGAGGACTGTATGTCCACATCACCTTTATTCAATTATGTAGATCCTTAAAATAATATAATATTTACTCACTTTCAATGAATCAAAGCAGGCGATTACTCGTCCATTTTCAACTTGGCAGCTTTTCGAAGGATGTGCAAATTTACATTCCGTGTCAGGCCGTGAGCAAGTGCCCCTTTGAAACTCTCTACATACTTCCAGTGTTAGCCATTTTGTATCCCGAATTGGTGTGACATTAACAGCCATGTTTAGATTTACAGGTAGTTAAATTTTTCAGTGAAACCAACAAACCCAACCCCCCCAAAAAACAGCAACAACAACCAAAAAAAAAAAAAGATGAACTGATAAAACTGTAAAATGATGAAAATGTCCCCTCCAAAATACTTTTCTCCTACTCCCTGCTTTTAAAAGTACATGGAAAAGTGTATTGTCAATATCAAGGAAAAGATCTCCCACTAGAAATTCACAGCATGAAACTGTTAATTCAAAGAAGTTTTGGTTTTTAGAGAAATACTAGAATTATAAGTAGATGAATGTTTAAAAGTAGGGCCTGGAATCAGCCTTGTGCTCTCAGTAACCCCTTCCCAGTGCCAATTTGGAGCCCAAAATGCAAGCATGAAAACGTGGCAGACCCTCTGACACCGAATTTCCAAGCTACTTTCAGCAAAGTTGTCTGAAAGGAAATATCCTCACAGCTGAATTTGCAATGGAGTTTGGTGGTGCAATCGGTATTGATTAGTTTGGCATAGACAGATGCAGCAGTTTAGAGCAAAATCGAGAAAATGATTTTGTTTTCCTCCTTGATTTCCTGGCAGAAGATATCTTACTTTTTCAGTAAACTTTTCTTTTAAAACTAAAGCAGCCTAAGGCAATGCCAGATACTTAGAGCTTTTCTCTTGATTATAAGTAGAAATGGGGGTGTCTGGGCAAGAGGTGGAGGGTGGATGTGCTGTCGTCACAGTCTAGCTGGCAGCAAGCAAGGCAAAAGCAGAGACTGCTCTAGAAGCGGTTCCAAGCAGCAGAGACGTCAGGAAAGGCACTTCTTAGTACCAACCTGTAGAAAAAAGAGATAGGTTAAGATTTACTAAGGAGCACTTCACTGATGTCCTACAGTATCACAACCTTGCCATGTGATACAAGACTATGTAATATTCAAAATCAGCTGCTCTCTCTCCCTCTCTCTCCCACACAGACACACAAAAAAATACTTACAGTGAGACATATTGCAGCCAGCCATCGTAGATTTATTAAAAAAGGGGGCCGTTTCCCCTTGTGGAGCAATGCATGATAGAGAGATAACCAATCACAGATAGTGTTGCAGCAATATTCTGGGCAAAAAGCCAATAGTGTGGGTTGTCTTATGAAAGGTCGTGCCTGTCAGATGTTCATTACTATGCTATAAGCACAGAAAATGTCCATCAGATGTGACTTATTCCACTGCAAGAGGACGAGCATGTGGGTTTTGAATTTACCCAACATGCAGTTAGTGGACTAAACCATGTTAGTTTCAAAACAGCTCCTAACACAAGTCAAAGCACTTGAAGATCATTACCAGAGAATAAATGCAAGGTTTAAAAATTGCAGCTGACTTCCAAGCTGCTTTCCCTCAAGCTCAGCACAGGGACCGACCGGCACTGAACAGCCTGCTCCTGCTGTCCTGACACGTGAATAAAAAAGGAAAGGGGTGTTTACAAATGGTACATTCTCCTGACCTATCCAATTTACTTCCTTCTAAAGCACAAGTCCTGCCCCTCCACTGAAAGCAGCACTCATACTGTAAAACTATTCCATTCAGCGGGCAGACACTTTGTCAATATATCACAGGCAGGAGAGATATGAACAAAAGCACCCTTTATTCTAACATTTTTAAAACAGAAGCTGAGGTCATGTGGGGAAAATAAGGAGTGCAGTGTTGTCAGTGTGTCTGGTAAATCTGAAGTCAACCTCAAGGGAGAAAGTGATTCCATCGCAGAAACATTAAATATTAAGTGAGCAATTTGATTTGGGCAGTGTGGTGTCCTTTGGAAGTTCAATTCCAAATGAAGCTGGAAAGTACGGGCTGGGGACACCCTATTACCTGGTGATCCATTAACTCAGCATGGTAAGACTGCTTACTCCTCAGAGGAGGGTATTTTTGCATTTAACAACTTATTTTTCTCTTTTAATCAGGATGGAAAACTTTCAGAAAATTTTTACCAGCTGGGAAAACAATGATATTTTATTTTTTCCATTTGAATGCTGCCAATGAAGAAGATATGGCTTTAGAAACTAAGTTTTACATTCCACAGAGACAAAGACACTGTATAATACAGCTTGATTAATTACTTTTTCATGGGCCCAAATGGGTCTACTGGCATTTGGCACCTTTATAATTTTGAAAATTAGAAGGTAGAATATGATATATACTGGAAATGTGAATAGTAAACTTTAAAATTTTTCTTCTAAGGCTGACATTATCATTCTCTGGATGTTTTTGTTTGCTTGGGGTTTTTTTTGTTGTTGTTGTTTCATTTCATTTTGTTTGCTTGTTTCATTTCATTTTGATTGTGATACTAGGGAATGAACCCAGGGCATTCAGTAAGCCCTTCCCTAAGCCTTTTTCAAAAAATTTTATGTCAAGACAGAGTGTCAGTTACCTAGGCTGGGCTCAAACTTCTGGTCCTCCTGCCTCAGCCTCCTAGAATACTGAGATTTAGGGGTGCATCAATATTATAATTCATAACATTAATTTAAAAACCAGTTTTCCAAAATTAGCTGGAAAACACTATAGTTAAGACTGCTCATCCAAGTATTCAAGAAATATATTTGCTTTCAAAAATCTTTTCAGGTCCTAACACCTGGCTCCCGTAGAAACAAAGTCAATTAGTCAAAATCTCCAAGCTGCTTCTACCTTCTTGAATTTGTTCTGCATTCAGAATTTTCTTACCAATGTCATGGCTTGAGCATGTACAATATGCATGGCTTTAGTCCTGCTCTCCACAATTTTAAAATATCTTACCTGCAATGGTTCACCTCCTTTAAAGCAAGATAAGACACCACTTCCTCCAAGAAAACTTTCAAGAGCCCACTTCCTCCACCTCCATCCAATTACATATGAATACTGCCATCTCTAAATTAACTCTGCACTTTGTGCCCTACACCACATATTATTTCCTTCTAGTTCTCATCCACTAGCTTATGTATTCCCAAGGGTAGAAATAATACTAGTCATCAGCAACTTCAGTGCCTAGCATGCTGATAAAAAAAAGAGATGGAGCTCCATAAACATTAGTACATTAAATTATCAGTTACTATCTCAGGAGGACTGGAATTACTTCTAGGGCTGAAAAATGCATACACATACACAAACATACTTACAAAAATACATTATGGACATATCATATTAACACACTTGAAAACACGCAGAGACACACAGATCATTTCCTCTATAAATTACAAGTGTCTCAGAGTCATTTTGTGTCCAACTGTCTAGGAGTTTCCACCAGTCTTGGACAGCTCCCTCTTTCACTCCCATATTGCAACTTTTCTAATTCTTCATCATTTCCAAGTTCTTCTTTCTCCATACTTTTCTTACTATCTATAGCAGAGGATCTTAAATCACAAATATTTCATAAACAAAAGCATAGTCAATGGGCATAAATTTTCTCTGACCTTCCTGCTCATTTATCTTTATCTGTATCTTTCTTCTTAATCATAGAAGTTCTCCCCTCTGCTGTTACTTGACTTGTTCCTTCTTAAGGCCTCCTTCCTTTTTCACTCCTTTTATACATGTATATCCTGTCTTTTCAGCAGTTTTTTTCTCAGTCTTTAAATATTCTGAAGTAATTCCAAATTGGAGATGGTGGCATCTCAGGAGGAAAGGGACCCCACCCTTGCGATAGATACATCATTCTCTGCCCAATGCTCTTAACCTGTCATCCCCAATATCTAAAGTGTCATATACATGTGCTATTTCTCTCCTTCCTCTCCCATTTGTGAATTCATATCAGTTTGACTTCTACACACATCTCTTTACTGCTCAGTGAAGTTGACAATGGTCTCATAAAAGCCAAATCCAAAGATTATGTTTACTCCCTGTCTTTCCCTGACCTCTAACACCATTGCCACTCTCTTACTAGAACCTTCCCCCTTGCATGAGCTAACACATTCTACCCTTTGACTTCTGCCTATGCTGCACTTCTTGTATCCTCACAGAGACAAGTGACTGAAGGTTCTGCATATACCGTGTTGCTGTGAGTTCCTGAGACTTGCTACATGCTAGCCCTTTGTTTGACATGACACATAATTCCTCACCCCTGAAACTTGGCAAATCCCTTCTTATTTAGGTTGTTACGCAGGTACCACCTTCTCCATAAGGCTGGGCCAACTGTGCTAAACATCAGAATATCTTCCATATCCAGAGATTATATTTTCCCCTTTGTGTATGTTTCTGCTTCCTTCTCCAAGATTATAAACTCCCTGACAACAGGGTGTACGCCAATGACCCATTGCCCGGATCCTGGAACATAACAGACTTTTTTTTTTAATGTTTAGGAAATACATAAACTTTGTTCATAATAGTAGGAATAAACATAAATTCAAGGATGTGTTCCCAACCAAAGGAAATATTTAAACTTGATATATGGAGAATGGTACTATTAAAAATATCTCCATTACCTGACAATTATATCTAAATAAAACAAAAATAATTTCTAAAGTGGATTTTTTTTCTTTTTGCCATGCTATAGGCTACTTGAAGTTGCCATTCAAGTACAAAATATTCTTTAAATATTAAAATTCTTGCAAATTAGTGTTTGAGTTATTTTCCGTAGGAGAGCAATTCTGCCACTTCAAAAGTGTTTCTGAAAGAATTGTAGACATACACTTGTATGCTGACAACATTATTCAATTGTGAAGGCTATACGTACAAATGATAATTAAAATACTTTAAAAAGCATAGCAGTTAGAATGGACACTTCATTGTATGGGTAACTATGATAGTTTGATCTAGTAATGTGGATTTCAGTCCTTCATACTGGCCACTACTGGTTAAAAAATCAGATGATACATATATAAATTAATATGTCTAAATTTAAGATATCAGATCTTATATTCTTTCCCTTTATTCAAAAAGAATTTCAAGAAAGATTAAAAAATCTTTACAACTGTTTTTATAAACTAAGATTGCATAGGATTTGCACCAGTATTGAATTCATTTCCTCAATAGTGGGAAGGTTTTATTCTATAGACAGAAGTGTAGGGGTAATAGTGCTTAAGTGTGGGGGTAATATATGGACTGTGAGAATTCCTGCAAGCATTTTCTCTAAGAATATGTTTTATTTTAAAATAATTATTGAAGGAAAATGTCTACTATATAGCATTTACTAATAGATAAAGTGCTTTTGAGGTAAATCTGCAATGTAATTTTAATATAGAATAAACTTCTCTGAACAATAACAAGATTAAAGAATTTAACAGTTTTGCAGTGAAAAAAATCACACTTTTTATAACCTGTATAACAACAAGCTCTCTTTATCCCACTGATTAAATTTCAAATTCCATGCAGTTCCTCTTCTGATGTAACATATTCTACAAACATGCTTATTGTGCTACAAGAGCCATGAACGAATTTTTGAGTTATGTCAGAGGTCACACAAAAATTCTATTTTCAGATGGAACTAGTAGGAAAATAGAAACAAAGGAAAAGAACAAAATGAAATGATAGTGATACTGAAAAACCAAGAAAAAGATCAAGAATAAATTTTTTTAAAGGAAAAGAAAATCAAGGAGAATCATCAACAATTATTCTTCTAGCCTGAAATGCATATTAGTTGAAAGGTACTCAAGTGATACACTAGAGGGCTTAATATATACCTAAAGTCCACATTATACTGCAGTAGAAGATAAACAGATGCTTACAAGCTATGAGAATGAAATTATATTTTAGAGAATTGGAAAGCTTCTTTGAACAAGGTTATTCTTAGTCATGTATGTTTACTAATCATTCCAGTTCTTCTACTGCAAGTATAGGAAGGTGGATCCAGTTACTTCCCAGGGTAATTAACTGGGAATTTGGGGGACTTTTTTTCATACACTTTCGATGATGAGATAGGTTGTAGATTGAGGAAGTTAACCAAGTAATTATTTGAGGTCTTTATTATGAGGTCTTTGTTATTTATTTACTCTGATAGTTTTAATCTAACTGGAAGAACTGGCCGACTTCAACAAGAAAGTTTGGAGGTGACAAGTTAGGGCCTCTGCCCAAAACTATAACTTTTTCCTTTGAGTCAATAATGTCAGCAAGTCCATAATTAGCAATCCTGTATGTTAGCAAACTAAGTTTGCTCACACGACAATTTTATTCAGGACTTATCCTAAATATTAACAAGGTCTTCAGTATACAAACAAATAGCTTTGCATTTCGCTAGGCTGTACAGATATTTCTCTACTCACTAAGGTACTACACAGAGTAACAGCTGTTATTCATTATATAAGAAAAACTGGTCTGAAAGGGTTAATGCAACCTTCAGCAGTATTCAGCCTCTTTTAGCAAAAGGCTGAG